CATTTGATTTTTACTTACTGGTATAGGAAGCTGCGTCAGGAATGGAAGAAATAAGTAAAATCGTCCCTAAAAGGATACCAAGTGTACACTTGGAATACATTTTCTGTAACAAAAAGATTTTCATTTTTATTAATTAGATTTATAGAAAAATTCGGTTTGATTAAAATTTTCTTAATACTGAAACTTAACACTAAATTTATTTATCTTTTTAATAATATTAAATTTTGTATCCTTTACTTATTTACACTTTCAATTTATTTTTAATTTTTAGTGACTATATTAAAAAAAAATTCAAGATAATTTCAACGATATCATATAAAAATTTTTCATTCAAATTATAAATAATTATTCACATTAGTTTTTGAACAATATGTACATCTAGAGATTAACTACGCGTATAAATACAGGATGCAACGTTTTATTAAGAGTATTTTTCATTAAACACCCCAGTAACAAAAATAAACGTCACACAGAATATTTCCATCCTATCAAACGTTCATTTAAAATAAACATGCGCTTTCAAAATATTAAACATTCAATCATACCAGATAAGTAAATAACATAAAGTAAATCTAATTACGGCAACAAAATTTAAACACATATTCAAAATGAAGATATGACCATAATCGTGCACTGCATTCATTTTGCACATTTATTACTTATTTTCGAATTCATAAAAATATATCACTTTTAAAAAGCAGTGTAAAATTTCAACAATAATTATACCCTGATGCAAATATTTCAAAAATAAAAATTCTGTTTAAATGTATCACTGTTCCAGTGTGGAACAATACGAGATTAATTTCGAAGTTCTCGGTATGAAGAAAGGTCAACAACAGGAATGTGTTTACCAACTGCTAAACAGATCAAAGAAATGAAACCTGACACCGTTATCAGCAGATATTCAAAACACACTTGTTACTAACAACCAAAAATATTTCCCAAGTAATAAATTTCTTGTAATCGAGATGGAATACAAGATTTCACATTTAATCAAGAATATCAATTTCAAAAAACCAGTTCTGCGACTATCCTTTCCCTTCCTCGTGCTTGTCTTACTCACGCTTTCTAACCTCAATCGTCATTCCTATCCTTGGAAATGCACACCTAACCTCAAATTACATCGAAAGAATTTTATAGAAACAGTGCACGTAAATTCAAAATCCATACACACTGACAGATAATTAATTAAAAATTCGTGACATTGGAACGATGGTCATTTAATTGTGTGACCTTGAAACACCATACGAATTCACAAACTGCGTCGTTCGTTGCGACGTATTTTATCATTTTTCCACATTCATGGTTACTGTATATTTTCCCTTATGTTCTACGAGAACAGTGTAAAGAAATTCTTGTAGAAATAACGAACAATGTAGACCTACCTCGAAATTTTGCTTCACTCGATACACAAGAACGTCTACTCCACTTCGTAGTCAGTACAACACTGACTACGTAGTGAAATGGAGTATCGTTAGTGACATGACGTTGCGGTAAGCGAAACAAAGACGGATAGATAGTATAGTACAGGAGAGAAAGAAAGGGAGCGACACTGAAAAAGAACCGACAATGACGTGGAAAACGTGACGTAAAAGGAAGAAGAACGTTATATTGGGTGCATTAGGTCGCTTTAACGATCACAAAGGAGATAAAAAACAGTTTTTATCAAGGGAAATTTAATTTTAACACAGTGAATGACGTGGAGATCACCGGTGACCGAGACCACGAATTAATTATGATAGAATAACTGAGAGAAATAAAATAAGGGTAGTTTTAATTAATATAATTAATTAATATTCAATTAATATAATTTATGCAAGTTTGACAGAAAAACAATTAAGGAAAATGTTTAATATTATACTAATGAGTTAAAATTTTTTAAATAATAATTCTTTAATACCAACCCCTAATAAATGATGGGGGTCAGTGATCAATTCCATGAATTCATTAAAAAATTAATTCCAGAAAATCTTAAGTAGCATTAATTTAATATTATTAATGGTATTTTGAATAACTGTGTTATCACACACCAAGTATTAAATTATTAATCTTGTATATTGTAGATTAAATATATCAACAACTTGCGACCTTAAAAAAAATGAAAATTTTGCGAGCATTCTAAATGTCTTGGAAAATCGATCGTTTACGTTGAAGTTTCACTCGGAAAGTATAAATCTTTTCAATTGACCTAGTTCACTGGTTCATACAGGGGTCATGGCTCGTTACTTAAGAGCCATTAACGCTTAACGATTCTCGAGATATACGGAAAAATATTAACGTTTGGAAAACAATTTCACACAAAATTTTTTTCTCCTTTTTTTTGTACCGTTTGGAACAGCACTCCATGCTGAACGCAACAATAGTTGGAATCACTACGAAGCTTGTGTTCTTTGTTCATATTTTATTTTTTAGTTCTCAATAGTCTTTTTTTATTTTTTTATTTAATTGAAAGAAAAAAAAAGAACAATTCGGTTGAGATGGCTAAATAATGAAAACGTTTCTAAATAGAATATCAAGCAACGTTTGGTCCTTATCTTTCATTTATACAAACAACAGTATTTAACTGACGGAAAATGAAGAAAAATTTATACAATGATGATTTTTTAATTTTAATCAGAAATCGAGCAACAAGAAATAAAGGCTCGAGGAAGAAGTTGAATCACAGAAGTCTACAATTCCAATACTATGATGTCATTCTGTTATTATTGTAACGTTGTAAGATAAGAATACAGAATTACATGAAAACTTTGATTCTAATACAGAATATCTATTAATTAACATTATCTCCTTTGCAGGTTTTTATTTGCTACCAATTTTATTGTGCCTACAATTTATTTTAAATTATTACAATTTTTATTATCTGATATTTCTTTAATCTGCATACAACGTGTGTTTAAATACTTTCATTATGCAACGCGTGATATTCGTTTGCAGTGGAAAGAATGAAAAATTTCCTTATCTTGGTAGTGAGCAATTTAGCTATGATCAAAGTCTGTTCGTGACATGCGATGATCATTTTCCCATTCAATGTATTTATACGAAACACGAATCTGCAATTAAATGTTTCAATAAATTTAAATCGTGAAATCGAACGCTTTTTAACATTTTAACTCGATTTCAATGCAACTCTTTACATTTAATTGGTAACGTTAAAATTTGTGTAGTTTCTTTTTCATTAAATTATCTGAAAAATATACAGGAAATAATTTCACCATTTATCAGTTGATTTTAAAAAGTATAAGGTATAATTAAAAGCCATTCAATCAGAAATAATTGGACGATCGAGTGGTTTATTGAAATTTTTTTTATTTATGCCTGTATAAAGTAGAAGTCTTAATGAATAAGGCAGAAAAGTTAAGCCTGAGAAGTGTTAGTAAAAGGGAGCGATTAAGCTTTCTTAAACAAGAAAATAAAGTTGTATATTTATTAAGTTTATTTCTATATAGCTAATATTTATTTCAATATAAATTTTGCTGATCCCACAAATTATGACTCTCTCCATAGTCCTTGTTAATACTTGTGTTATTTACAACTTTTATACATTTTCATAACCAACATAAGTATAATTGGAGGTCTGATTAGATTCCTCTAAAATTCTAAAATTAGAATATTAGAGAATTAAAAAATTAAAAAATTGGAGAATTAGAAACTGGAGAATTAGAAAATCAGAAAATTCTAAAACTTCAAGATTCTATGATTCTAAAATCCGAAAATCCTTACATTAATAATATAAAAATAAGTTCGGGATGAGAAGTGACTAAGGCTATTCACTAAAATTTCAAAACTCGTTTCTTCGTTTTCCACAGTCACGTTTGCCGAGAAATCTCATCGACAAGGAGTTCCGCAAACCCCACGTGTCGGAATGTTTCATCCTTGTAGAAGACCTTCCTCCTTTGGTCTACGTCAGTGCTTTTCGTGCTTTCAATGGCAGGATGTTCGATCTGGAGACTGCGCAAAGGTCCTCCTGCTTCGACATCGGTGGCTTAGGAAACTCTTCGATGGAGGGATTCCAGGGGGTAGAACTTTCGTACAAACGCTTTTGCAGGATGAACGCTCGGTGGTGGTTTTACTCTTACAGTCACGCGCACTGAGCTCGTTTCCCTTTTCCTCCTTCTCTATTCCCGTGTACATACAACCATCACGCATGCTGCTAAAACACGTACATACATCTTCTTTGTCTTTCTTTCATTGTTTCCTTTTCAGTACGACACACGCTCTCCCTTTCTATTATTCCATCCAATATATAATATTTCATATCTTGTACTCGTTCGGTAGAGTACACGAAAACTACGAACTCTCGTCCCTTTGTTCCATACCCAGAATTCTATCCTAGAGATTACCAGTGATATCTAGAACCTCCATCGATCCTGAATCTTTCGGAGAAACAATCGTCTGACGGATTGTAGACAAATCCTTTTACATTCTTCCTTTCCATTCTTCTCTATGCAATTTTTCACGTTTTTGGATTTCTTCTCCCGGAGTAAAAAAGTTAGATAGACGAATATCCATTCGGAGCGATTTTGCATTAATTAATAAATAATATAATTAATAGAACTAGAAAGATTTCAAGTTCCTTCCTCCATTAACTTCTAATCCTAAGAATGACTCTTCCAAATGGAAATACCTGCTTAACTTTCTACACAGAAATTACCACAAGCTTCTTAAACTTCTTCCTCTTCTATGCTCCAAGCTACCTTCATCAAGGTAATGCACGCACTGTATCTTTCATAAAAGAAAAAGAATACTAAGGAAGTCTTTATTTTTCTTATTATCTCTTTCGTCGTCGTCCAGCGGTCTATCATTAGTCATTACTCCGCGGAAAGAAGGATCCACTGATTTCTCTGTTTCGCGTCCAGAATCATCCCTTATCCTTGGCACGTCTTCGTCCCGATAACGGTGCGTTTCTCCCGCGTGTATGCGCGCGCGTCTCGCCGCGCTTTCGAGAGGGTGCTGCGCTGTCGACGGGCGTCGTCCGATAGTCGAATTCGTCGCTTCCAGCAGGCAGGTACGCTCGTTCGACGAGAACAACGTTCTTTACCTGCGCGATCCTTCGACACCGTGGAAAGGATTGCTCAGGTCGAAAAGGGTGGAGGGGGGGTGTGTGTGCATGTGCCAGCCCGTTTTCATCTCGCTCGGGACTTTCAGTGTTACTTCTCGGTACACGAGTTCGCGTTAACGATCGAGGAAGCGCGGTACTGCGAGTGTCGCAGCGCCGTGTGCACTCGCTGCTGCAGTCAGTGATCGTGGAGGGTGCTGAGAGTAAAGGGGTGAGAAGAGAAAAGGGATGATCGCAGGTGCGCGCGCGAGACAGCATCTTTAACCCTTTGCGGACGATTGACTCGTATACGCGTCCAAACAAAATCGTCATAGTAACGTTGAAATTTTTAGAGAGAGTATATGCACTTCTGTCCAAAAGTCAGGGGACAACTATTAAAATTCTTATTAAAAAAAAAGTATTGGAATTGTTTTTGTGCCTTATACAACTAAGGGATGTGCAATTGACACTTGTGTAAGAATGTGTAGCAGACAGAATTTTATGAAAATCATTAATTAACAGAATCTCCCAACATCTAATTATGGGATCTAGAATATTTGTGAAAGTAATTTATAGTGATTGTTAATATATCTTTTTTCTTCATTGCAGCCTTAATATCTTGATATAGTGTTTTAAAATTAATGTTCATGGCAGTTTGAATTATCCAGTGCAACATTTCTGCATAAATCACAAAGATAATTTCTTTTTATGATCTATTGTATTTTTTATGAGATAGCAAAATGATTTGCAAATAATTTGCAAGAAGCAAACAATTGAAACTTTTTAAATCAAATTCATATCAATCCTTTTTTGTCGATTTTATTGTAAATAATGAAGATTTCGTGTCAGGCTTAAAAGTGTTCCGTTCGCAAAGGGTTAACGCTCCTCGTGAACAGTCTACATCGTACAGAAGAAATTGAACACGGTGTTGGGAACAAGCGTAGAGAACTCGTCGAGGAACTTCAGGTATGTTTGAAGAACATACCGCTTCTAGCAGGCAACCAGCGAATCTTCGATCGTCGATTCTTTCACCAATGTCTTGCACCCTCCTCCTTTCTTATCCCTTTCCTTTTTCTTTCATTACTATTTCAAGAGCATGTGTGACACTCACGATCACAGCCAGATTAGAATTAAACGTACCCTGTCCAATTCAGGATTAAATACTATCCATTAATTTAATTTTCTTTAAGTTACAAAATTATTTCCACAGCTGATAAAATGAATTATCAGATCAGCATATTTCTTTTCTCGTTTGTTTCCCCATTTTGATACGTCGAAAGGACTTACTTCGAATTTTCGAAAGATAACTTTCCCAGTTCCAAGTTGCTGTTAAGGTACAGTAAATCTCGCCGGTGATATCGATAATTTTAACGTGATATGTGAGCTCCATGATATACTGCAAATGGATTTTCGTCGAGGCATTTCAATTGGTATTACTGGAACGTTGCGACTTTCAAAACTTGGCAATTGTCGAAGTTTGCTTTTCGATGCCATTGGCAGATAGTTTCTTCCTTCTTTCTACACATCTCGAAACTTTTTTTTGTTTCGAAATTTCATGCAAACGATATTCCCTTCTGAAATAAAGTTTCGAGCCTTGATGAGAAAAAATCATGGCCACGAAACTTTTATTTTAAACAATATTGAACTGTTCAAATTTCTTTCCACAAAATTTGAAAAATACAAGCTGTTACTGACAGAACGAATATTTTTTATTTATATATTTTTAAAAATAGTATGGATTAAAAAGGATGTTGAAATGTTCTCTGATATTTTTACAATAATTCGCGAAACAATCGCCAGGTAAATAAAATAATCTGAATGTATACTTTGTGTTGAAATTTTTGCCCACTGTTTTGCGAAATATTTAATTCCAGTACAGGAATTACAATTGGGATTTCATTACAATTGGGATCAAAAGAAGTGTACGCACAACATAAAGGGAAAGAACAGAAATTTCTAATTAAAATTCATTACAATCAAAAAAGAAAGAACAAATAAGCAAAGTAATGTGATGGAAATGAAACAAGAGTACCTATTTCATTGAATTTAAACAAAGAGAAAGAATGAAAGATTTTAATTAAATTATGGCAATCTGTAGAGGAAAAATTTCAAACGACGATGAAATATAGAATTCTTCCAAATCAAAATTATGCAAAAATGTTATATCAAAATTATAAATTATGAACCTAAAATAATATTAGTTTCAAACAATTACACGAACCACCAAATTATTTGCACGAACACTCGGAAGCACGCTGTACATATGTGAACACACGCGTACGTATAAATAGCAGGCAGAAAGTCTGCTTTCAGTCTAGGAAAATCGCAAGCCACAATTCTCATTATTCCATTTACCGTTGAAAAGTTATTTGTACGGCCGAAATTAGAGCGGTACTCGGAAATAAAATTCATTCTCCTTTTGCCAGCATAGATGACAATCGTGGCCGGGAACATCCTCTATAAGGTAACTAGTGTGTACAAGTATTAAAAGAAAAAAAAAATAAATAAATAAATAAATAAATAAATAAAAGAATACAAAATTGAAATAATCTGTATAGAAAGATTTTGTTAAAATTGCGAGGAGAAATTTAATTAAATACTTTTTTTATCAATGACTTTTTAAGAAAAAGCTAACGGTGGTTTCGGTAGGGTGTTCTTCTTTCGATTTCGTGATTGATCTAGTGGAAGGATCATAAAAAGGAATTGAACGTAGCGAAGAGTTGAAAGAATTTTCTCAGTTTCACCAAGGAATTCCCGGCGTTTCCATTAATGGACGTAGAACTCTAGGGCAAAGAGAATTATCCGATCCTTGTGAATTCAAAGGCAGATTTGTGCATATTGAATTCTCCTTCCCCTTGGAACTTCTCAGTACCTCCGTCCTCTTGTGTAATCAACAGTATTATTTATCGACGTGAAATCAGCGTGCAATTCGCTTTGAGAAATTTCTACGGAAACATACTACAGGGAACTTGATCACTAGTTGCATAATTCTGACAGAATCTTAGAATTTCAGCGTTTCAATCAATTCGAAAAGTATATTTCAATATTCAATAAGAAAGTTACCCCAGAGACCCTAAAAACAATTTTCTTAAAAAATATCAAATACCATTTTTGGATATTTATTAAATGAAGTTTTGTTACAATTTTGAATATTAAAATATGTTTGTTTTGTAGTGCAAGTTATAAAAATTGCTATCATCATCTTAAATAAATAAATACAATTATCTCTGAACATAGTAAAAGCTCATCAATAATATTCTTCTTCTAATCTTTTGTATGCCTCTTATTTTACTGACAAGTTAATTCATCATCCCCAGTTAACGCGTTGAAGAACGAATTAGTGGACAGAAAATTTGACACCAGCTGTGCAACACAGTACACGTGTGAACAGCTTTTATCTCAATTAACACGAGCGTTTCTTCTTCTCTAGCTATTAATTGCAGAACAAGTCCAGCTTTCTAGCTAATGCCCCCGTTGAGTGCAGGTTTATAACAGACCATTCGCCAACATCGTTGCCTTCATCAGGGTACCCGTACAATCGACTTTCTTTTCAGACGTTAACACATTTACTAGGAACACTTCTAATTTACTTATTGAAACCATTATCAGCGTAACATTTCATTCATAAAAGTGAGCACACCGGTAGATGAAGTGTTAGGAGTTCTAATTATATTAACACCTTCGCTAATTCGAGTGGAAATTTGTCGATGATTTATAGTCTCAAGTACCTAATACAAGTATTTCTAATTAGACAAGTAGAGACATTTCTACAATTAGTCATATGGGAGGTGGATTTTTATAGAAATTGACGTGACCATATGATATGGTAGTTGAAGAGGTGAAATATATAAAATATAAAATTATGCAATTTTATATGCATTTGCAATTAAAAAAAAAAATTATTACCTGAAATTGCTAATTTTGAATAGTAATCAGTATTTAACGGAGTATCTAATAATAAGGTAAAAAAGCAAGTGTTAAGTTACATTTATTGCTATAACCTGTGTAATCAATATATCAAAAGCAATTTATCTTGTTATTATTGCAAGGATACCAAGTTCTTGTAGGATCAAAGAAGGATCCTCACTTGTTCGAATCAACGTTGCCTGCTCGAGACATCGATTGAAGTTTTTATTCTTCTTTCAACTCGAGCTACGTATCCATTTAATGGATTTTCGATACGCGATCTGTCGTATGATAGATCATTTGTACTTCCAAGCTTTACTTTTCGATTTCACCAAGTCGCAAAAGTGTGAAGAATTCATATATCCATCAGCTGCATGCGAATGGACTGATATATTTAAAGAAACTACCAACTCTACATTGCAAAATTAATTACAAAAATTGAAAAATTTATTTTCCATCACATTTTCACTAGCCATTTAGTTCCAAATGCATAACATTATATACATGCAAAGTGATGTTGTTTCAAGTTCGTTGAATTAACAATTTAAAGGAAAGCAGAATAATTATGCATTATGTGAAAAATTCCAGCACAGTAATGCAAGTTTGAATTGAGAATACTAGAAAGTAGACTTAATTATGTTCCTTTTATCTTAGTTTGGTCACTGCAGTTGTATCACAAAAGTTGAACCATATCGAGCAAAACTAATTTAAGTGTTCCAAACATGAACTGACGCAACGTACACGCTTTCAAATTCCGTTTCTAATTGCTTATGATATTTTTTAAATATTAGATAATACTGCAATATCTCATTTTCGTTTTAAATCGTTACACAATGTAATGATTATATTTTTTATAAAAGGCAAATAATTCTGGAAAATAATACTGAATTTAATTATACGAGGCATTAATTACAATCTTCATTTGAAAAACTTAAATTTTGTAGATATTTATTTTATCTCTCGGACGGCGGACTATGAAAGAAACGCCAATTGTAATTTAATTTCGTATTTCATATTATTTTCATTTTATAAATTTTATCCTCTTTCATTAAAAATGATTGTTCCAATATATGAAACATTTTCGTTTAAAAATCATACATTTAACTTTAAATTAATATCCTTATATATGCTCCGTAAAGGGTTACAATTGACCCAGGCTCCGCTATTCAAGGATTAAAAGTTTGATATCGTTCTAGGCTGGGAAATATTTTTATACTTTGCATTTAGATTAAGATAAATTAACTGAAAATTTTCTATTTTTTGTACATAATTACCCGTACGACCCTTGGATTAATTACTCACCAACCCTGAATCACACACTTGGCCCTTCTAGCCCTGGTAATATCCAAGAATTTTTATTGATCCTTCTCCTTATTCCCACTACCTCCCAAATCAAACTATAATAAAATTATGAAAGCTCCGAATTTAAAATAAATCAACCACGTAAAAAAGTAGCGTTGAATATTTTATCACCGCTAAGACTAGAAAATTCCAAGAAAAAAATAAAATCTTTGCTTGAAATAAATGTTGGGGTAGGTATGAAATATGCTTCGCATTATTCTGCCTGGTAGTATTCTCCCCTACAACGTTCCACGTGAACAATTTTCCACGTTGCGATACTTAACGCGAACATCATTCCACGGAACAGCACATTCTACGACGTGTTTAACATCCATACTCAGCGACATAGTTTGCATATCATGGTTATTTTAATATTCACAGTACACTTCTAATATACTCTGCATGTACAGATATACTATGTACAAGACGTAGAGTACACTAGAAAATAATTAAATTTACATAACTGAAATTCTTATATCCAAAATATACTTCAGAAATGATATACTTCAACTTTAAAAAATTGAAATTAAAATATCTCTTAAACTACTCAATTTTAACCCTTAGTAGGTGGGGTGGTTTTTGAGGAACAACAAAATTTTTAATGACAGAATGACAATCAAATGGCTGTTTAATTTTCTTTTACAGAATATTTTTATAATTATTCTTTTACAGAAAATTCCAAGAAAAGAATAAAATTTTTGTAGTTGCAAAATTTTTTG